GAAAAAGCAAATTACAATAGTATGTTCAGTATGCTATTCCAGTATGCAGCACAGTGGGTTAAAGCATTTGGCTGGTAACCAAAAGGTTTGTGGTTTGAATCCATCAGTCGCTCTGCCCGAGAAAGATTTACAACCTTAGAAACCCTATGGGGCAGTTCTACTCTGTCCTACAGGATCACTGTGAGTCGGAATCAACTCAGTGGGTCTGTTTATAAGTCTGGAAGGAGGAAACATAAGTGATCACTCTGGAGGCTGGAATATGATCTTTTTATTTTCTCACTGCTGTTTGCCTGTATTTTCTATTTTTTTCTTGCATAGAAGATATCATTTCTAACTTTTTAGTGTATTGTACAGTCTAAATTAATATCACTGCACTGCAGGTTTTGGTATGTAACAGTTGGTGCTAAAAGCATTTTTGAGAGTGGGAGAGTTTGTAAATGACACTCAACCGGGGAACAAAATGTAAAAAAAAATCCACTTACAGGGAACGAAGAGAAACGTTTAAGAGCATAAACTGAAGACATCCTCATGGCGATCAGGTGGTGCCCTGTCAGCCTGGTGCAGCAGGTAAGGCCAGAGAACAGTGCCTGAGGCAGAGGACTCTAGGCTAAGGGCAATCTTCAGCCATCCTATGAAGAGTTACTAATTCGAGGAAAAGAAAAACGTATAGGGAAACCTGCGAGAGCCAGAACTCGGCGGGACTACCTTATTTTTCAGGGTCTTGCAAGTTTTCCACCTTTGACAGGTTTGAGTCTTATCTCTTTGCTGTCACTGTCTATTAGTGGAAAATATCTGACTTTCCTTCTCTGACAGGTTTCTGCCTTACACAGCTTTTGCCTTTTGTAGGTTTTAGTGGAGCTGATTTGCGTTTTGGAGGCTCTTGAGTCACTACGTGTAAGAATCGACCCCGTGGCAAAGAGTTTGGTTTTGTTTGCTTGTTTTGGTTGGAGGTTATAAGGAGACATGGCTGGAGGGAGAAATTAATTCTATATTACAAATACATATTTACAAAAAATAGGTGCTCCTTCTCTGTGAGGTATTTCATGGCTCTCTATTGCACCTCCCCCATCAAAACCAAAAAACAAACTGGGAGCTCTGGTGGCGTAGTGCCTAAAGCATCTGACTGCTAACCAGAAGGCTGGCGGTTCAAACCCTCACCCATGAATTACATCAAAAATTGGAGTGAAGAGGCGGAGAGGGCAGCACCCTCTGAAAGTGTCTTAAAATTCCGAGGATCTCCAGAGCCCTGCCAAGAGCATTTAAAAAACAAACAAAAACCCACCACCACCTCTTTTGGGGCACTTAACACATTCTTCCTCTCATTGTTTTGACTATACTTAGGCTTTAGCTTTCTAATCTGAAAACTAACAGCACCCTAGGGCCACTACAGTTCTGGCGTGGTGCCTAAGGCATGTGACTGTTACCCAGAAGGTTGGTGATTCAAACCCACCAGCTGCTGCACAGAAGGAAGATGGGGCAATCCACTTGACTGCGGACCAGAAAGCTGGCGGTTCAAATCCACCAGCCACTCCTTGGAAGTAGATGGGGCAATCTACTTCTGTAGTGATACTTCCTCGGAAACCCAAGGAGGGGTCGCTATGAGTCGCGTCCAACTTGACGGCACATAACAACAACAACAACAGAAACCCAATGGGTGTCCGCTATGACGCGGAATCAACTTCATGGCTGTGAGTCTCGTTTTCATAGTACTTAGTACAGTATCTTTGGGAAAATACTACTTAAAATAACTCTTAGGTCTACGTTCAAAATTCCAACCTCTCTCCTGAGTGTCAGACCTACATTTCCAATTGCCCAGGCAACATTTCCACCTTGCAAGGGTGCCATTCCCATTCCTGTAAGAACGCCAAAATTAACCTCATCAAACCTAATCCAAATGGGACTCCCTACATCCCTCACCCACTGCCAAACCAGCCCTGCTTCCAGTTTGTACTTGGATTTAAACCATGCTCCCAAACCTGAGCCATCTCTGACGGCTCCATCTCCCTCACCTCCCACAAAGTGTCACTGCTAAATGCCACCATACTCGTCTGCTCCACTCTCTCCCTTTTGCACTGTTCTAGTTCAAGCTCTGAAATGCTTCCCTACCTCTCGCACCTCCCCACTCCCCGCCCGCCTACATAACAGCTTCCGGAAGAACTACCTACCCAAGCAGAGATGTGCGCACTGTCATCTCCCACCTTCCAGCGACCGTAAACCCCACAAAGACAAGGGTTATGCCCAGTTTTAGGCACTGCTGTAAGGAGCTCTGGTGGCACAACTGTTGAGCACCCTGCTGCTAACCGAAAAGGCTGGCGGTTCTAAGCCACCCAGTGGCTCTGAGGTAGGAAGACCTGGCAGTCTGCTGTCATAAAGATTACAGATTAGGAAACCCAACGGCGCGGTTCTATTCTGTTACATGGGGACACTGAGTTGAATAGAGACTCCATAGCACCCACCAACCAGCCACTGCTGTGTCCCAAGATCCAGTCGGGTTCCTGGCACATGACTGGCCCTGGATACCTTAGGGAACGAATGCCCCATGTCAAGGAGCTTCACGGGAGTTCCACTCTCCACAGAGTGAGACTCCCCAGTGAGACAGACCACCCTTCCAATCCTCGTCCTCACAATGTCCCTCAGGTTTCCCACTGCCCGGTCACAACGATTTGCAGCCCTCTGCTTCCCCGGCACATTTTCCCTGTTCTGTTCTGCCAATGCATCACTGCACTCGTCAAATAATAGCATTTTCTTTTCCATCCTATTGTGTCCTCAAATTTTCCCCCAAGATGATAATGGCAGGGCAACAGCGTCTGGGTCTCGTGCCTGTCCTCCGAGGCCGCTGCTAGGCTCACCAGAGGCATTAGGTAACTGATAGGAAGGTATCGATTAATGGAGTGAACGACCCCTCGCAGCCGTCATCTCCGCCACGGAGAAAGGAAGGAGCGGGAAGTGTACGTAAGATGCAACCTTTTTTCTTTTCATCGCATATAACACACACGTAGAAGAGAGCATAAATCATAACTGTACAGCCTGTGGATTTTCATAAATAAACACACCTGTGAAAACAGCACCCAGATCAAGAACCAACATACAGACGCCGGCCCGAGACCTCTTCCATCGAGTGGCCTTTTCAACCCTCAAAAAACTCGCAACCTCAAATCCTACCCCCTCTAGTTGCGGTGAATGAAACCCCAGCGGGTCAGAGAGGTAGAGGGAGGGTCAGAGAGGTAGAGGGACCGGGAAACTACACATCTTACCGACGAACTTGAAGCGAGTCATGCCTGCGGCGCCGGCTCCTCCTCGACGGAAGCGGAAGTGGCCGCCAATCGACCCGCCCTTCCGGTCCCCTCTCCCCGCCTCTGCCCGCCCTTCAGGCTTCAGGTCCCAGCTTTCCCGGGAGCCCTCGGGCCCGCTGAAGGTGAGCCGGCTGTCATGGCGTCCTCAGTACCCGGTGCCTACTTGACCCACCAGCAGAAAGTGTTGCGGCTTTATAAGCGGGCGCTGCGCCACTTAGAATCCTGGGTCATCCACAGGTGAGAAGAGGGGTCCCTGACCTGGGGAATGGGTCCTGCAGACGCCGAGAGGCCCTGCGCACTAGGCGGCCAAGGACTTCGGGGACGGGATGGGCAGCTGCCTCTTGCCCGACGTAGCTCGCCCATAGACCTGAGTTAGAATCCAGACTTCCTCTCCTATATCTGCGAGACCTTAGACGAGTTGACCTCTTCACGTGATTCTGTTTTCTTCGCTCTCTCCATCTGAGACTATTTTAGAACAGTCTTAGAACATAGAGGTTTTGGTGGCCCAGGAGCCTAGAAGGTCGGCGGTTCAAACCCACCAGCCGCTCCACGGTAGACCGATGTGGAAGCCGGCATCCGCAAAGATTTACAGTCTTGAAAATTCTGTGAGGCAGTTCTCTGCCCCATAGGGTCGCTAGGAGTCCGAAGCGACTGGATGTCAGTGGGTTTCCTTTTGGCCAGTAACACACACCTTCGTTGCATACCATTTATCAGACTGTTTTTTGTAAATTTCTCTCTAAAGTAATAATACTAGCAGCTGATATTATTGAGCATTTAGAGCCAGACACTGTCTGACGTGTTTATATGTTTTAACTGGAATCATTACCACAACCTTAAAATAACATATTTTATAGACAAAGAACCCAGGGGCTAGAGGCATTAAGTAACTTGCCTCAGATTAGGAAGTTAGTAAGGGACAGAGCTGTGCAAGCCCAGGCAGTTTGACTAAAGAGTCTGCTCTCATCACTTGTCTGTCTCCTAGCCACCATCATGGCTGCCTGCATCAGGCCCTCATTTGTGGCCTAGATTACTGTCAGATCCTCCTAACTGATCACCACCCGGGTTTCTTCTGGAACCTGACCATAACTTCCTGGAAGGTTGTTCAGCTAGCGTCAGAGTCGGGATTCAAACCCATGTCTGTCTTATTTGAGCAATACTCTTTCCACCCTGTCACACCTCCTTCCTCATTCAACTTTGTAACTCCAGAATTTAGCATAGTGCCTCGCACAATGTAGGAGAAAATTCAGTAAGTGAGTTAATGAATGTCGAATGGTCCTACAGAGGTATAGCTTTTGTCCTTGGTGATTCTTTTTCCCTTTTAGTTTAAATTGCCGTTCCTTTTTTGGAGGAGAGTGGGCAGAGTGGTTAGGTTCTATTTAATACAGTGTTTTTGGACTGTGGGGGCATCTGCTGATGGTTGGGGCTGCAGGGGAAGCAGTCTTAATGATGTGGCTACCCCAGTGTCTGGGACCAGGAAGGTGGTAGGAAAATCCACTACATCCAGAAGGCATTGGTGCAAGTACAGCCTCTTGTCAGATGGTAAAGCTGCCTGATCAAGTAGAAAACATTTCTAATCTCCAAAATCGTTTTGTTTTAAGGGATAAATACCGGTACTTTGCTTGTTTGCTGAGAGCCCGGTTTGAAGAACACAAGAATGAAAAGGACATGGTAAAGGCCACACGGCTGCTGAGGGAGGCGGAGGAGGAGTTCTGGCACAATCAGCATCCACAGCCCTATATCTTCCCTGACTCTCCTGGAGGCACCTCCTATGAGAGGTACGAGTGTTACAAGGTAGGTGAGGATCACGCTGGCAGCTGCCTTCTGAGAGGCCGATGTGGTTTCTCAGGTCCCGAACCTCAGCCTCACAAACTGTTTACCCTTTTTGGGGCAGCTGGGAAGTGTCTAAGGCGCTCTGGTGGCATGGTGCCTAAGGTGCTAACTAGAAGGTTGGCGATTCAAACCCACCAGCCACTCAGTGGAGGAAGACTGGGCATCTCCTCCTGTAAAGATTTATACCACCTTGGAAACCCAAAGTGGGTCACTGTGAGTCGGAATCAACTTGATGGCAATGAGTTTGGTTTTTTGGGGGGGTGGGGGTGAGGGTGGGGGATGTCTTTCCTGATAGTTGTAAATACTCTTTTTCAGGGGTCAGTTTGCTCACTCTCTCTTAGACTTAAGAGACTGTCTTTCTAAATTCAGTTCCAAAGTCTTGTAATATATTTTCTGGCAAAGCCCAGTCCTAAATAACTTGGAAAATAACTCATTTTTGGACCTTAACCTTAACTAGTTTGGATTGGTGCTTAGTATTTTGGAGAAATTTTCAGTAACACTTGGCAATAACGTAAAGTCCCTCTGGATAGTTAGAGAATCGAGTAGGGGAGGACTGATGGCAGGTCTCCTTTCTTCCTGGTTTCTTGCTTGTCAGCTCTACCATCAATGGCTTGGTGTGACAACAGTTGACACTCGCCTTGATTATAAAAGTGCACTTTGATTATTGCCTTCCATTTCCTGACAGAATCAGGAAAGATATGCGTCAGGGTTGTATCCTTTCACCATACTTATTCAATCTGTATACCGAACAAATAATCCAAGAAGCTGGACTGTATGAAGAAGAACACGGCATCAGGATTGGAGAAAGATGCATTAACCTGCAGTATGTAGATGACACAACCTTGCTTGCTGAAAGTGAAGAGGGCTTGAAGCACTTACTGATGAAGATTTAAGACTATAGCCTTCGGTTTGGATTGCACTTCACCATAAAGAAAACAGAAATCCTCACAGCTGGACCAATAAGCAATAATCCTAACTAGACCAATAATCATAGTAAATGGAGAAAATACTGAAGATGTTAGTGATTTCATTTTACTTGGATCCATGGTCAACGCCTGTGGAAGCAGCAGTTGAGAAATCAAATGATGTATTGTATAGGGGAAATCTTCTACCACAGGCTTTTTTAAAGTGTTAAAAAGCAAAGGTGTCATTTGAGGACTCAGGTGTGCCTGATATGCATGTGAAAGCTGGGCAGTGAATGAGGAAGACTGAAGAAGATCGCTGCCTTTGCGTTAAGGTGTTGGTGAGGAATGTTGAATACAACAACGACCCACAGAAGAACAACAAAGTCTTTGAAGAAACATAGCCAGAATGCTCTTCCGAATTGAGGCTGGCAAGACTTTGTCTCATGTACTTTGGACATGTCATCAGGAGACCAGTCCCTGGAGTGCATTATGCTTGGTAAAGTGGAGGGTCAGTGAAAAAGACCCTCAACAAGGTGGATTAACTCAATGGCTGCAACAGTGGGCTCAGATGTAGCAACAGTTGTGACGATGGGCAGTGTTATGTTCTGTTGTACCTAGGATCACTTGATGGCACCTAACATCTCCTGAGCAGACTCTGTAAGCAAATAATACCACGGTTTTCTTCTCCTGGCAGGTCCCGGAGTGGTGCTTAGATAACTGGCATCCTTCTGAGAAGGCAATGTACCCAGATTACTTTGCCAAGAGAGAGCAGTGGAAGAAACTGCGCATGCAGAGCTGGGAGCGAGAGGTGCGTCTTACTAGTGTTTTGCCGTGTGGTAGACAGAGAAGAGGTGAAGGGGGAAAGCTTTTGAGAAGAGAGCATGGGATCCCAAGGGGATTCTTCCTCCATTAAGGTTAGAAGATTTGGTGATGGGAAGATGACAGGACTTCTGTATGATGACATGTTTTCTCAGTGAAGTGAAAAGCCAGGAAGTGGGTACAGTGTGTTGGGGCCTATGGAAAAGGGCTGATATGCATGAGGAGAGAGCAGCTTGCTGGAGCATAGGAGGGCTACCGGGTGGTGGGGAGCCCCTTTGAAGTTGGGAAGAATTAATGTGCAAGGACACCAATCTGCTCTTTTTTTATATTTCACAATACTAGCTGCGTGGGTGCAGATTGAAGGTGGTCGGTCATCCAGAGAAAGTGGCAAGGAATTGAAGGTTATTCAGAAGGGAGGATTGTCTGAGCTGGATAAAGATGATGGAGAGAGAGAAAGGGTCGAGTGTGATCAGTGGATTGGTTGTGAATTTCAAGAATTATTTTCAAGGGGCCATTTAAGCCAGTGAGTTGGAAGGGGAGGTGGTGCTTGGATGGTGGGGCATTTGCATTCATGATTTGAAAGATGTGCTTGTTGGTGCTGGTGGTAAAGTTCAGGATGTTGGGTGTTGGAAGGTGCTGGCAGCTCAGCTTTTAAAGGTTTGAGGTACGGTACACAGTTGAGGAACAGGTTCATTCTGTACCAGTCACCATGGTAACCTAGCACACGTATTTGGAGGCCTAGGTCACCATAACAGAGTCGATTTTTCCAGAATGAGTTTCAGCGTATGATTACTCTGGGAAGCAGATCTCTCCCTTCTCCTTCACCAGCTTATATTGATTGTGCAGATCTCTAGAACTGGGGGCGTTGGGGGACACTTGAAAGGACTGAGTACATATTTTAAATGTGTTTTAATGTTATTTCTTGTCTCGGTTGCTCTTTGGGGGCCTTTAAAACCAACATCCCTACAATATGGACAGAGTTTTTTGGTTTTAATTTTTTCATGTGATTTGGGTGACAGTTTACATAGCAAAGTCATTTTCCACATAGCAGTTCAGTGTGCATTGTTTCGTGACATTGACTCCAGTTCCCCACAGTTAACAGCTCTCTTCCCGGTCCTTCCTCCCTGTAGCCTCTTCTGTGTGTCCTTCTTTCCCATGCATTCCTGCCCCAGTTCTCTGTGCAAACACCGCCTTCCTGTTCTCCCATGATTAATAGTTCTGTGTAATCTACCCCTTGTAAATGTTTACCCCACATGCTTGTGTTGTTTGGCTGGAAGCCAGGGGAGTGAGTTCAGTTCCAGGCCTGAAGGGTAACTAGGAACCGTAGTCTCAGGGGTCTCACCTGGTTCCATCAGATGAGTAAACCTGGTCTTTTTTATGATTTTGAGTTTTGTTCCACATTGTTCTCCCAGCCTATCCAGGATCAGCTGTACTGACGCTTGTCCGAGTGGTTGACAGTGGTAACCGGCCATCATCTAGTTCTGGTCTCATGGTCATATAGGCTGAGGTTCACATGGTCCACTAGTCCCTTAAACTAATTGTTTACATGAGTCTTTGGTTTTCTTCATTCCTCTTTGCTCTGGAGGAGCGGCACACTACTGCATCTAGATGGCCACCCGCAGCCTTTTAAGACCATATGGACTGAGGGTTTGTGATGGAGCTTCTGGCAAGCACTTAGCTGAGGTAGAAGAATGTTGTAATGGGGGACAGGTGGGGGCCATGCTGAGGGGAACTGGATGGTGATTGCCATGGGTTTGCTCACTGAATAAAAAAGGAGAGCAGTGTTTGTTTCCAGGTTTGCTGTTTTTAGAAAAACCTTTTAAGGAGAAGAGTTTCAGTTTGAATTAAAACGTGGGTACAGAAAACTGCAGGTATATGAACAACACTTTTCATTAGTGAGGGTCAGAAAGTATGTAACGTGACAGCAGAAGCAGGCAGACCATTCTCCTGCAGAGGCAGGTGTTACAAAGATTAGCCTCCTGTTCTCTCTCCTGCCCCCTTCTAGGTGCAGCAGCTGCAGGAGGAAACCCCGCCTGGGGGTCCTCGGACTGAAGCTTTGCCCCCTGCTCGAAAGGCAGGCGATTTACCCCCCCTGTGGTGGCATATTGTGACCAGGCCCCGGGAGCGACCCATGTAAAGAGAGGGGAAGCCACCCCACTGTCCAGTTTGTAAGTGAAATGTGTTACAGACTACATACACACTTGCCCTAATAAAAATACACAAACATGGTCTGGTCCACCTGCTGTCTTTTGTCTGAGGATTAATGTGATGCCAAGATACTCTGCCACTGTCATATGTGTAAGGATCATGATGTGAAGTGTTGTCACTCAAGTACTGTGTTCTCTTCGTCCTCAATACATTGTTTGATGTTACTGGTAAAGAAAAAACACGGCAGCATTGGGTTCCGATTTGCTCAGAAGACTGAGCTGAGCAAACTCTTGGCTATTGGGACTGGAAGGCATACAAAGCAGAGAAAACTCAAAATACAGTGCAGCCTGTGAGGGCCAGGACTCACCAAGGGGGCTGTGTTCACCTGGCTCTCACGGGCTTTCCGCCTCTGACAGGTGCAGTCGCCACTCCTCTGTCACCGTTGGGGGAAAGTATTTGAGTCTTCCTTCTCTGACAGGTTTCTGCTTTACCCAGATTCCAGCTGTCACAGGTTTGACTCTACCTTTGTGGGTTCTTAAATCTTTGATCACCGTTTTGGGCAATTCCACTAATGAAGTTTTAGTTTTTATTCGAGGACAACTGCCCTTTAGTACTACACGTTCCACAACAAGCTTTGGGTTTCTGGAGCGGCCTCGGGAGTGAAGGTCCAACGCGGCTGACCTGGTGAAGCAGGGCTCTGTGACACTCTGGAGGCAGCTTTTACCCCTTTTCCTGCTGTAGGGGCTTTGTCTTCAGGCTCCACGGCCGGGGTGTAGCAGAACTCTTAAGTGTTTGTAAAAGTTTCTTTAACAGGTAATGTGATTTTTAAAACTCAGAAAACCTACTGCTTTTTAGTTCTTGATAATTCATTGGAACTGTTTTCAAAAGAATCCATTCAGACAACTGAAAAAAATGTTTTGTCTATTTTCCAGGTGAAGACTTTTATGTTCGACTTAGGTCTCAGTCTGCCTTCTAACAAGGCTAAAGACCTCAGAGTTCAGTAAGACTGGAAATATAGGACTTTTTTCCTAGTGTCTTTATTTATCATGTAGACTGAAGCAATTGTTACAATGTAGAAGGGAGACACGTTACACAATTGTTATTTATACAAGTTTAGAACAAAAAACTGCACAGGGAGAGGTCAACTCTCAGTACAAACCAGCAACTAGACCACGAGAATTGACCTTGAGGAACGATTTCTTGTAGCTGTGACACTGCTTTTACAATATGCAAAAACACAAACAGAACTACCCAAGGGGCTTCGTCACACTTTTTCTACATTGAACTTGGCAACAGTTTATATTAAATTTATTCAGATTATACTAACGTTTAAAAACTAAACAAGTGAAAAGCTGTACTGAAGTACAGTCACATCCATTTATTTCAAAGGTTTAAAATACCACTTTATCTATTGTAATTACCTTGCAGTGATGTCTGCTTTCACAAAAAACCATCTCAAGCATCATGTGCACAATGCATCAGCTGCGTTTAGTCATCAAGACAGGTGGGCGAGACCACAGGCACTACTGTTGCGTATATTCTGTGAAAGGAGCTTGTTTTTCAAAGGAAAAAAGCTTACGTAATTCCTAATAATCATGCCTTTGCTGTAAAGCCGTAACATAAAATGTCCTTGAGCAGTCAGAGCAGTGTTAGATGTGAGTTAAATGTTAACAGAACCATGGCCGTGCAGGTACCTGACTCCCACCCCAGCAATGTCACAGGTTAATATACAGAACGGTGACTATACAGGCACCTGACTCCCATCCAGGGCGGTTATGTCTTAAAGCGTGAGATTGCGTAATTGAAGATTCAAGCCAACAGACATCTGCAGGGTCTTGGGGACCCACCATACGCCTGCTCTGATGCTACGGTCACACATGGGCACTTTCAGTAGACAAGACTACATACGCTAAGTGGGTTGCTTTCCTTTTTAAACGGCTGCTTCAAATGTCCCTTCAAGTCTACAAATCTCCGTTGGCTTTAGGATACGGGTATTATAACAAACTTAACTTTCATTTTAAAAAAAGACATAAATCCACTCCAGAAAACATTATCTAGGATACAAAAAAGGACAGAGTTGGTCAGATTTCCAGTGACAATAAATCCACCTCTTGTAGATGTTTAGTACGAAGCCGATTAACTGCCATTTATTTAACAGAAGAAGAAAAACAAGCCCCCAGATTGGTGAACACATTGGCAAGTTGCTAGACTCCAAGCTGGTCACCCTTGTTAAATCCACTCAAGTTTTTTCAAAATATTTGGGCTTTTCAGCATGCCCAGCCTGCTGGGCACGGTTAAGAAAAAGGCATTTGCTCTGAGAGTTCCCTGCTATCATTAAAAATGCTTTCACATTTTTTTAAAACTGCCTTGTTTGGATGTATCCAGATTCAATGAAAGTGAGTATAAGAAACGAAAAGTGGGGCGTTGTATGTCTGCCCTGCAGTGGCAGCATGCATGGGACCGAAGGTGAGGGCTGTGTGCGGTCAGGAGGAATCGTGGGGGAGAGAAGTCCTTAACACACTACAGAAACAAACACTGCAATCCAGTATGGCTTATTCGGATGCCTTTACCATGAAGCTACGAGACATTCAATCTATGAGGCTACTTTTAAACGTGACAGGCTCGGTCGGCTGTGTGACAGTGTGGCCCTCCACGGCCCTCCCCCCAGTCCCAACCGTCTACCATTTCCAGCTTCACTTCATTCGGAATATTGCTCATCAGTGGCTCCTCCCGCCTCTTTCATCCACAAGAGTATACTTCAATGAGGAGTTTTTCCCCTTGTCCGTTTGGTTTGTACATTAAAATAACTTGAATTTGCTTTTAAGCCAGACTACTACAATGCATCTATAGAAGCTTGCAGGAAAAGAAAGGAAAAAAGAAAGATTGAGAGAGAGAAAAGCATAAGTATAGTAATCCTTTTGCTGAAGCTAACTACTTCTTGGTTCCCCTGCCCTAATACCTCCCCCCTTTATGCATTTAAAATTTTACAAAGACTTATAAAAAAGTTAAATGGAATTTGGCACCTTCAGAAAAATCAAAAGGGAAACTAAGATTCAAATGTGCAGAAAGAAAATAGTCAATATTTACAAATTAAAACGTCAGGATTATATCAGTTACATATGTTGCTTTTCATTTTTATCTAAAGGTGTGGAGTACTTTCCAAAAAGCTGGATTCTGAGTTGCCTACAAAATCTCTTGTTGGATTATAGACTGGAATGGATCGAGACAAATTAGGTGTTAATGAGGCAGTTCGTTCCCCACCGGCAGGATTTCTGGTGAGCCTAAGAGCGCCTAGGAGAGGCGAGGGGCTGAGCGGTCATTGGTCGTGGTCTTCTTCAGCCTCACGCCCCTGCGGATGGCGTTCAGCATGTCTTCTCCTTGCGGGCTCTCTCGGGGGCTCAGGTCTGCAGGCTCGGCCCCTGGCGTCTGGCCCGGGGAGGCGGTGGCGCCTGCGGGCTCCCTTTCCTGGTCCTCCGCTTCACTCTCTGGAATGGCCTGTCTGTGCTCCTCAGGAATCCTCGGCTTCGGGCCTGGGAGTGGGGGGTTGACAGATGCCTGGCCACTCCACAGGGAGGAGGGCATGCTGGGGACACCCTGGGGGCCGTCCCCCCCAGACGGTGACTCAGGGCTGGGCTCACCCCGCTCCTCTGGCCCATCTGGAGGGGCTGGCAGCACCCCGCGGAGATCTGGGACGGTCGGGGTCTTCACGGGGATCACGGGCGTCTTGATGGGGATGGGACCAGCTCCGATGGTCCCCCGGCGGACAGAAGGCTTGGTGGAAGGGGTCCGTCGGATGGTTGCAACCCCTGGGGTGACCATAGTAGGTCCAAGGGTGGTGGGGAGGCCAGCAGTCGAGGCCGGGCGCTTGGCTTGGAACATCCGTCGGTAGGACTGGCTGATGTCGCTGTTTCTCGGGATGGTGGAGGATTTGTCGAACTCCTGCTGCTCGGCCTCCTGGTCACCACTAACGGAGAAGTAATCGTAATCTGAAACTGATGGTAGGTTCTGATTAGAAGCACTCATGGCCACAGCTTTACGTTTTGATTCTTTTGTGGTGGAGGACAAAGAGCCCAAGAGGCAGGATGTTTTACCCACATTCTCTTTCCAAGCTCCCCTTCGATTTCTGTGAAGGCCTCACTAAGCCCTCCCCAAGGAAAAGCTCCGGAGCAGAGACCTTCGTTCTGCTCCTGACAGACCCCCAGCACTAGAACAGCACTGCACGTAGGAGCCACTCAGATACTGGTGAGTGGCGGGGCTGGCCACGCTGCCCGGCTACAGCACGGCAACTCCTGAGACTCTGGGCGGAGTGAGGGGCATGAGAGAGAAGACGGATTCCATAGCCCCTCCAGGCCAGAGCTCCCCGTGAGAAGTCAACCTCAGTCAGACTTTCAGGGGCTGGAAATTAGCCAGTTGGGTGAAGGCTAGAAAAAGAAACAAGACTGCCAGCACGGAGTCCCCAGAGGCCAGCATTACACCGGTGACCTGTGCTCACTTGCTCAGCATGAGGGCAACCCCAGTGCTGTGTGCAAGGAAGCAGCTCAGAGACGGAGCACCTTAGAGACAGATCCCCCACCGCAGCCCTAGCGGCGAAGTCTGTGCTGGGGGCGGTCCCGTGCATCGCAGGATGTTTTGTAGCGTCTCTGGTCTCTACCCACGAGCTGCCAGAACAACCCTCTCCAGCTATGACAACCAAAACGTCTCCGAGATTGCCACTGTCCCCTGGGGGGCACAACCTCTCTCTGTCTCGCACACACACCACATGCCCTGTCGAGAACCACTACCTTAATTTTGGATGAATTAAGTAGCTGTGGGGCACCTGTGGAATTGAATCTCTGCTGTTAGAGCCTCGCCTTGCCTGCTTGGTGTGTGTGCTGTGGGTGAGGGGAGGGAGGCAGGGCTGAGAAAGCACTGGCTTCGACCAGGTCAGCTTGGGCGCTGCACCCTAACAGATTTCAGGTTCCAGCTCCAGCGCTGCTAGTTACTCGCTGCAGGAACTGGGGCAAGTTACTGCGCCTGTTTCCACATCTCTAAGATGGGGGTAAAAATGTTGATCCCTTAAGTGGTTGGGAGCTCTGGTAGCATAGTGGCTAAGACACTTGCCTGCTAGCCAGACGGCTGGCGGTTCAAACCCACCAGCCACTCCTCGGAAGGAAGGTTGGGCAATCCTACTTCCATAGCGATACTGCCTCGGAAACCCAAGGAGGGGTCGCTATGAGTCGGGGCCGACTCGACAGCACATAACAACAACAACAACAAGAAGTGGCTGTGAAGATTAAACACGATCAGAAATGGAAAGCGCTGCACACGTAGTGCTCGAACAGTGTACGGAGAGCTGGAAAGGTCTCTAAAGGACCTCTAGTGGTACAGTGGTTAGCGCATTCAGCTGCTAACCTAAAAGTCAGCAGTTCAAACCCCCCCAGCCACCCTGCATGAATAAGATGAGCCGTCGGCTCTGTAAGGGTTTTTCAGCCTTGGGAATTCCACGGGGCTGTTCTATTCTGTCCCGTAGGGCTGCTGTCAGAACCAGCTCCACGGCAGTGGGCTTGGGTTTGGGTTTGGTTTTGAGATTCTGTTAATGGTGGTGGAATAATCGGGCCAAGGACCCTGGCGATGAATGTAACCCACATCACTGGATTGTCCTCATAAAAACTTTGAATTGGCAAATGCTTTTGTTACATGTATTTTTACCACCATTAAAATTTTTTAAAAATTTAAATAGAAATTATTTTAAAATTCAAATTAATGAACATGAATGAATGAACAGAAATGAAATAAATAAAATGCTCTGCCAATTTTGTCTCCTCCCTGCAGGGGGGAGCACCCCTTCTCCTCACCTGGTGTTGCCCAGAAAGCCCACTGTGCGGCCAGGTGGCGTACCTTGGGAGGGAATGGTGTCCTCGGAGCAGCACGGGGTGGTCGTCTGGGTGCTGTAGCCACTGGAGCACTGCAGGGAGTCCCGGCTGCTCCTCTGTGTGTCCAGCTGGAGGCCTCGGGTCAGGGCCAGGGCCAGTTCTTCACAGGCCTCCATCTCCTCACCAGGCTGCAGGTTGGAGGGGCAAGAGGGAGACAAGCCGCCAGGGCCATGAAATACCCTGTGTATACCACACGCACCCAGAGCCTTTCCACACACCTCTTCTGGTGGGGGCCTCAATATCCTGCTCCCGTGAACAGTACACGTTTGTGGGCCCCAGGAGCTACCAATTTGCTTGGGTCCAGATTCTAGAAAGTTCTTTGTGTCTGACTGCCATACAAGGCTGTTCCCCATGGGTCTTCAAACGCTACAGAGCAGGGAATGGGGGCAATGGAGCCCAGGTCCTTCCAGCTTCAAGGCTCACTCAGCCACCAGCCGGGCCTAACTGGGTCCAACCAGCTACAGAGAACAAGAGCGTCACCCTGGTGGCGGCCGACACGGTCATGCTCCGTGGCCTCTGGGCCTCCTCAGCGGCTGCAGGTGCACCGCCCATGGGAGCGGGTCCTCCTCCACCAGGCTCCGGCTCGCGCTTCTCTTTGCGGCGCTGCAGGGTGTTCACCAGAGGCTGGTCGTAGGGCCCAGGCTTAGCCCAGTCCTAAGTAGAACAATGGGGTCAGGGAGGCTCCCTTCAGAGGGCCACAGCTCCCTGCCAGACGGTGCCCACAGAGCACAGCTCATCCCCTTGGGGAAAGCCCAGGCTGGTGCAAGCCTGCAGCCTCTTCTCTATGCCCTCACCCACCTCTAAAAGGCAGAAGGTGGAGAACCCTGGGTACCTCCCTTTCTCTCACATCGGCCCAAAGAGGAAAACTGTCAGCCACCAGGCAGGGAGCCTGTGGAAGACTCTCGGTTAACAGCCACCTAAGAGCTGACCAACACGTGCTAGGGGCACTAGCCCGTGGAGTCTGCCGCCCCAGGCCTCAGGCCCCAGGCCCCCTCTGGTGTCTGGAGAGGGACCCGCTCTCCTGCACGTTAGAGGAGTGGCCACGAGGGGGCAGTAAAGAACTTCAGCCACCCTCCCCAAGGCCGACTCTACTCCAGGTAAACAGGCCCAAAGGGCAGTCAGGATCTCTAATCCCTACAGTCCTCAGATACAAAGGGCAGGCGCCCAGGGTCCACAGGAAGATTGGAGGAGTCTGAGGGAACCTTACAGTCTGAGGGATGAAGTCAAGACCTACTCAAAATGCTGGCAGTCTAGGGGCTTTTCAAATGAAGGGTGCTTGTCTCAAAAGAAAGTAGAGTATCTTCCAGGAACATCAACTGAACTTGCTGGGAAATAACTTTAAAACTCTGCTTTTAATATAAAGAAATCAGGACTGAGAGTAAAAGCTGAGTGTTTTTTTTTTTTTTTTTAAGATAAAACAATCCCAAACATATTTTGGGCTCTGACTGTTAGCATGGTCCAGAGAGGGGACCTGTTAGGGAAGTCTGAGGAAGAGACAAGAGAATGACAGGCCCTCCCAGCCCCCTCCAGGCTCTGGGTGACACCGACAGCCCCCAGGAGGGGACAGATCCAGCAGAGTTCATCCCAACCCGACACATTCCTCTGGGAACTGTCAGGCTCTGTAGTGCCCCGTCTCCCCGGGGGTGGGTCACTCATGTCTTCTCCGAGGGAGACTCCTCAGCCTCCATACCAGGTGGGAGTTTCTGTCTGGGAGCTCCAGCTGCCTTGCGGTCGTCATCCTCCCCCCACCCCGGTGGGAACTCACTTAGGGGAGGAAGGCAGAGAGTGAACGGAGGGGATGGGGGTGGGTTGATGGGACAGAGGAGCGTGAGGACAGAGGGGATGGCGGGGGAGGGGGAGGGGCGGCGAGGAGGGAGGAGAGACACAAACCTTCCAGCTAGGGATCTGAGATGACGGGAACATGCCGGGCCCGATGGTGTAATAATGGGTGCAGTCTGGAAGGTGGGCAGAGGTGACCCGAGGGAGCAGGCGGGAGGCAGGCAGGCAATGAGGGAGAAGCCCTGCACCCGCGGGCCCCACGGGGGACTCACTTGATAAACTATAGTGATAAAACCCGTTAGACAACTGGAAACGAAACAAACGAAAAGGGGGAAAAGGAAAAAAAATTAATATAACAGGATGAGTGTGGAGACACAAGATGGCGTTGACATTCGAGCGAGCGGGAAACCTGGGTGTTTACAATGGCAACAAACGTCTGGGCTCTGCTGCTCATGCAGGCTCCGGACCCGGGAGACAGAGCCAGTGTGCCAAGGGGCACAGCCGCTGACCCTGCACAGGCATTCCCTCTGGGAAGTACTGCACCTACGTTTCAGAAATGGTTTGTCCACATTGGAAATCAGGCAGCATGCTGCATCTCTGGCAGCCTCCCCGGTTTTCCAGTTATTTAACTAACGAGCGTAATTTCACGGTGGGTGACTGCTCATCTCCTATGCAGACTGCAAACAATCTTCTCATTCTAGGGGCCCCAAGCCATCACACTGCTCAGGGGCGGGTCCAAAGCAGGGACAGGAGTGGGGGTTGCAGCAAAGCACACAGCCTCTGATGCGGTGAAATGTCATGTCCGAGGGCATGGTGACAAGGAGACCACACAGTGGGACGTTCAGGAGGGAAGGGGGCAGATGGGTGACGCCCTGACACCTGTTCTGGGTGGAGCTCCGCAGGCCCCGCCTCACTCTTGGGAAACTGCCTGGTGACTGACTCCTCCTCCAAGAAAAGCCCTCCGCTGCCTGCCCCCCTTGATTCCCAGGAGGGGCTCTGCTCTTGGAGTCACCCTGTCGCTTCCGGGTCACTGGGCTTAGGTGGGCGCCAGGCGGGGAGGGGGAGGGCTGGTGGTCACCTTCTCTGTGGACGCCCAGGCGCCCATGGTGGAGCCTGAGCTGACTGAGGTGGGGGAGCTGCACTCGCTGACTGACTGGCAGGTTTCCGAGGCTTCCGAGGAGGCCGAGCTGGACGAGTTCTGCAGCAGGGGGACCACACGAGGGGGCGACAGAAACCAAGCCACCAAACACCACCGGAAATAAACGCACGTGTGGGGCGGGAGCGGGAGGCACGCACAGAGAGACAGACAGATACACAGAGGGGGGAAGGACGAGAGAAGCAGAGGGTTAGGGCTTTAGTTTCCCCGACAGGAGACCCACAGAGGCGGCGGGCCCTTGGAGAGAAGCAGGGACCCACCAAGCTCTACACCCCTGGGCGGGAGGTCCCCGAGAGCGCGGACTTCTGTGGGCGCTCACTGTTCTGTCGCCAGTTCCCAGGAGTGCCCGGCACCACGGGGCTGCTCAAGGCACCAAAATCCCAAACCTAGCAAGGCTGTGTACTCTTGGGGTTTTTTCTTCATGCGCCACGAGGCCAGGTCCCAAGAATGACCTCCTCCCTCACACCTCTCGTGTGCCCTAGTCCAGGTGCCGTCAAGTCAGTCCCGACCCACGGCAGCCTGTGTGTCGGAGCAGAACTGCTCAATAGGGTTCCCAACGGCTGGTTTCTCAGAAGGGCCACTGGGCCCTTCTTCCAAGGGCTTCTGGGTGGACTTGAACCTGCAGCCTTTTAGTCAGCAGCTGAGCAGTAACTGTCTACACCGCCCAGGCTCCACGTGCACACGCACCGCTGCCCGAGCACAGACCCCAGCATGGGCTCTTGCCATGTGTCTGTTAAGACGGCTCTAATCCCCAGAACACCCCCGCCCCCTCCTTCAAATTCAGCCTTTGCCTCCATGAGGTAAGAGGCTTCATCTTCACAAGACCCATTTTGAAGTCATTCTGCCTGTATGGTGATCTTTGGTGCAGGTCAGGGAAGCCCGTGGTGGGTGCCATGGTACCACTGACAAGTGTAATGAAGGGGACGTCTGGAGAGACCAGGAACAACACAGATAAAGGGCAGACTGGGGAAAACAGCTCCTCACGCCCATCTCCATGGAAACTTCAGCCCCAGCAGTCTCCTCACATCTGCTCCCACTCACCTGAGCTCACCTGAGCTCCTGTCCAGCCAGGGTCTGGGAGTTCTAGTCCTGTGCCTGGCACGTGGCAGTGGCTCCAAAGCTACCAAATGGCTGAGGGTCAACGACCACCTCTTCGTGTGCACTGGGATATCGCCTTTTGCCCACCCAGGTACTTGCTGAAGATTCTGCTAACAGCAATCAATCCCTGATTCATGCCCAATTTGTCTGAATAACGCCCAGCCCGCCTCCCGAATGTCTGCCCACATTTTGTTCTCATATTCACTTTTACGGCCAAAGAAGGCCAGATGCATGCTTCTGCCCACCCCTTCCACCCGCAAAAGAAAGGTTCCTGCAAAGGGACAGAGCTTCAGCATTCCCATCTTGTAAGGCAAGAACCTCAGCCCAGTCAGGGTCTGGTGAGCAGCCGAGGGCCTAGAGTCTCAAGGTGTGTATTCAAGTCCTGCTTCAGCCACTTCCCAGGTGAGGAATGGTGAACTGGATCTTTGTAAACCTCAGCGTTTTCGAATTTCAAATGGGGACCGATAGTATCTAACTAACTAGCTGATGAAGGTTAAATGAAGTAATACAGATACCCATTTTGTGCTTAATCAACACATCAATAAACTCAGTTGTCACATTCATAAGCTACCAGGGCTGTTAATTTTGGTTCCTCTAAATTTCAAATATGTTTGGCTTGGGAGGGGGGAGAACACGTAACCAAGCCAAAAGAGCCTTGGTGGTGGTGCAATGGTTAAGTGCTTGGCTGCTAACCTAAAGGCTGGTGGTTCAGGCTCACCCAGTGGCTCTGTGGGAGAAGCCAGGTGATCTGCTCCTGTAAAGATGACAGCCTCCTAAACCTGCTGGAGCAGTTCTCCTCTGTCACGTGGGGTCACTAGGACTCGAACCCAACAGCTCCCAACCATCACCACCCACCACCCACTCCAAGGCTACAGACTCAAATTTCTTTTGAGCCCTACTTGTTTTTCCTAAGGAGCTCTGCTGGCATTTGCCTGCTAACCACGAGGTTGGTGGATCAAAGCCACCAGCCACTCTGTGGGAGGAGGACCGGACAGTCTACTTCCGTATAGATTTACCACCTTGGACACCCAGAGGGGGTCGCCGTGAGTCGGAATCACCTTGATGGCAGTGAGTTTTTGTTTTTTTTTTTCATTTTTCCTACAGAACTTCCTGCCTTGGGTGGAGCCGACAGCTGCAGGGTGAGATGCTCATCAGGGATCTGGGCCCCACGTGTGCGAAGGCACAGCTGGGAGAGTACAGGGCAGGAAAACGGAGGCCTGTTTCTATCCGTGCGGTAGAGAAGAGAGAGGAAGCGACCTGCTCCGCAGAGCCTCGTGTTCCCTTCCTTCTGCCCTAGGCAGCTCCAACGTGATGTTTTCAGGATGCCGTACCTTCAGCATACCTTAGGAGCCCTGGTGGTGCAGTGGCTAAAGCACTGTGCTGCTAACTGAAAGCAGTCTGCTTCGTAAAGATGACAGCCTTGGAAACCCTATGAGGCAGTTCTACTGTCCTACAGGGTTGCTATACGTTGGAAACGACTCCACAGTAGTGGGGCACTGGTAGGGGGTGCTTATCTTGTAAGTAGCCATAAAGCCTATTTTAAAAAGAGAGTTCTCTTATTACATTGTGTAGCACTCCTGGGCTTATTAAAATGACTCTAGAGTTGCTAGCCAAGCCTACCTTGGGCCAGGCTTTCAGATTTAAGTCAGTCCTCACATGCCGCCCCTGCATCCCCCCATATCGCTGGAGACAGAAATACTGCTTTGCCTGACACACACACACAGAGCCTGTCGCTGACAGCAAGGCCGACACACGCACAGTCTCCAGCAAGAGGTGTCAGTTGATTAAAAACGCACACAGATGAGGCTGCGCAGCGTTAGAGCCTTTGAGGAAATGCAAACTCCCATTACTGTCCTGACCACTCACGCTGCAAGACACACAGGTGAGGCTCAGTGGGGTCACTGGTTGGGGAAGGAATGGGGCTCGACTCCTCAAAGCCAAGCCCAAGCACCGCAGCTGAGACAGCACCCTGAAACGAAAGCTGCAGCTTCTGCTCTGAGCGTTTCCACTTGAAACAATCTCGATCCAGGGAAGGTAGGGAAGGCAGAGAGGCAGGAGCAGTGCCCGGGGGCAGCCGGAAGTGCGGCCAGGCTCTAGGTTCACCCACCCACCAACCGACCAACATCACACACAGCAAGTGAGTAGGTTCCTGAAACATGTCAACTACTTCCTCTACGTGACATGCTCTCCCCAGGGCTTTCAGGCTGATGCAGAGCAAAAGGACTCTGGGCCTGCAGCCAGAAACACCTGCTCTAGGTCCTTGTCCTGCAGGTCACATGACTGAGCAACTCGGACACGTTACTCACAGCTCTGTGCCTCCGTTTCCTCAACCAAATAGGGAGAGCCCTGCTCTACGTGGCTGTTGGGAGGACGACGTGGCTAGCACATGGAGGGGGCTCCTGAGACGGCCTCCTACACAGGAGATCGTCTGAGAACGTTCGGAAATTGGCTGCCTGGGTCAGCAAGCATGTGGCCTTGGGAGTCCAAAGGATCTTGTGTTCAGCCTCAAAATACACTTGAGGGTGACAGGCTCACAGCCACTATGCACCCCAGCAGATGCCCTACAGGGCACTCTGAATGTTCATGCTTCTTGGCTTCTACCTATTATGTTAAGGAGCTCTGGTGGCATGGTGCCTAAGGCATCAGACTGCTAACTAGAAGGTTGGTGGTTCAAACCCAACAGCTCCTCTGCAGAAAGAAGATGGAGCAACCTACTTCTGTCAAGATTTACCACCTTGGTGACTGTTGGGAGGAAGTGGGAGGGGAGCTGTTGCACTGTGGTGAATTATGGTCAATGTCATGAGACAAAGTATATGTGAACTGCTGTATGGAAAGTGAACTTGCTCTGTAAATGTTCACCCAAATCACAATTAAAAAAAAAAAAAGGTTTACCACTTTGAAAATTCAAAGGGGGTCGCTATGAGTCGGAATCGACTTGATGGCAGTGAGTCTGGTTTGGTTTTTGTAGCATAGTGCCTAAAGCACTTGACTGCTAACCAGAAGGCTGGTGGTTCAAACCCACCAGCCACTCCTCGGAAGGAAGGTTGGGCAATCTACTTCCATAGTGATACCGCCTCAGAAACCCAAGGAGGGGTTGCTATGAGTCGGGGATGACTCGACGGCACCTAACAACAACAACAGATTCCATCTTGCTGGTGCTGAGGGAGCGAGACCACAGTAGGGGAGATACGCTGATTATGCACGGAAAGCCTGTTCGAAGCCTGCCCATCCTGCCTTCTGCTCCAACTGGATCTACTGGGCTGGGATGGCCTGGTGCCACTAACCCCACTATGGGTGGAGAGACTCAAAACTCCCCTTCTCCCAGAATCCAAGTGTCTGCTTGGATCTGCAGGGCCCTGATGTTTCATTCGAATGAGCAATAAAAAATTTCTAAAGGGGACCAGAGTGTGTCAAGGAAGGCAGGCAGGGTCAGCCACTCAGAACCGTGATCGGGCGGAGGCGGCCACACTACTGACGGAAAGCCCGTTCACTAAAGTGCAGCACTAAGCTTGGTGTGCAGAGGATGACAGAGAGCTGAAGTGTGAGTTGTCTGCCTAAGGGTCAGAGCTCCCAGATCAATGGAGTACCCCAACCATCACCACAGACACAGGCTTCCAACCCCACTTACGGCCTCGCTCTCCCCTGGGAACAGTCCTTCTCGGATGAGAAGTTACACCAGAGCGTTCTAAAGGGAGAAGGCAGCTGTCTGTCCAAGCCACGGACCTTCTCTGGGTCCAGCCACTCGTGCTGCTCAGGCTGCTCATGGAGCCAAGGGCACCTTACCTGGTTGGGGGCCTCTGGCGGCATGGGGGACGGTGACTTGGACTGGAAGGCGTCCTGGGAGATGAATCCTGAGTCGTGGGAGGACACGCTGGACAGCCTCACGGGTGCCTGCTGGGGCAGGTTGGAGCTACGGTAGCGGTAATGCGAGCTGGGGGAGTGCGAGTGGGAGCCGCTGGACCGGGAGTCACTGCTGTTGACGCTGTTCAGGCTGCTGCGAGGGGCAAGCAGAGGGGTGGTGGGCGGGGAGGGCACGGGGAGCAGACCAGGGGCAGAGAAGGGATGAGAGCACACTGCAATCCACTCCACCCTGAGGCATGTCTTCCAATCACTCCATCATCAACAGCAGTGAGGCTTCTTCATAAGTGGAAGCAGAGAGTCACCAGGACTCAGCCTCTGATGGCGCCATGAGGCACTCTTAGGCTTGAGGCTGTAATTGGTCAATTCTTCAGTCTACAGTGAATACCTCCCAGTTCCGCTATGTCATCTACTCCCAAAGCCAAGGACATGAAGTCTATGTCATGCAAAGAGATGGGGCTAATCTTATCTGCCTGCAGGAATGGTGACCCTCCTGTGCATAACCCGTTGAAACTCTGATGTGACCGTGCCACTTTAGGTGGACCATCTGGGTCCAGCAAGCCAAAGTCTGGTGTGACCGTGGCCACTTTAGGTGGACCATCTGGGCCCAGCAAGCCAAAGCCATCACTCTGGGGGTTCAGGTGCCAATGGGCTTCTGAAGGTGATGTCACCTAGGTAAGTCTAGTTTAAGATTACAACAAGGAACACCAGCCAATCCAACCAGTATGTTTTGGGGGGGGGGGATTTCTGGGAGGTGTAAACTGTTAATGTGCTGGGTTGCTAATTGAAAGGTTGGGGGTTTGAGTCCACCCAAAGGCACCTTGGAAGAAAGCCTAGTGATCTACTGTCTGAAAACTCGGCCACTGACAACCGTGTGGACCAGGCATCTACCCTGACACACACGATCGCCTTGTGGTGATGTGTGGGTGGAGTGTTTTACCTTTTATTAACAATTGAATTAACAATTTAATTGACGGCTTTAACCCAGTCACAGGTGTTTTCTGTTAAAATACCTGCAAGCCTGGTGCAACAGCACGTCTGGCAAGAAGCAAGCAGCTTCCACCGAGGGCAGCCATCAATGCTCAGCTGTCTGCCTCAAGCCGGAAGAGTAAACAAGGATGTGGGAAGATTACACACAGCCTTGGGGTGTTGTCTGCATTCATTCCCAGCCCTAAGACATACCCTCTGTATACAAAGCCAGATTATGACAAAAGAGAAAAAACACAGCCCAGCCCAGGATGAGAAAGTGTACGCCTTCTGCTCCTACGCCTGCATGAAGATTCTGTCTCGCAAACTCTCGCAGCTAACAAGGTAGTCAAGGATGCGAGACTGTTCCTCACCAGAATTACTTGGTGCTTATGTTAGTGGCGTGGTGCCTAAGGCAGCTAACTAGAAGTTGGCGGTTCAAACCTACCAGCCATTCCACAGAAGGAAGATGGGGCAATCTACTTCTGTAAAGATTTTCTGCCTTAGAAACCCAACGGGGGTTGGTATGAGTTGGAATAGACTCTGGCAGGGAGTTTGGTTTCTGGTTTAATGCTCCCCAGGGGCACTGTGGTGCAATGGTAGAATTTCTGCCTCTCATGCAAGAGACCTGGGTTCAATTCCTGGCCAATGCACTCATGTGCAGCCATCGTCCCTGTCAGTGGAGGCTGGAGTATTGCTATGATACTGAACAGGTTTCAGCAAAGCTTCCAGACTAGAAAGAAAGGCCTGGCAATCCACTTCCGAAACCAGCCAACGAAAATCTCAGCAGTTCTGATCCCAGCAGACCACGGGGATGGGGCAGGGCGGGCAGCGTCTGTCCCACTGTGCATGGGGTCGCCGGCACTGGGGGCCGACTCAGTGGCAGTTACAACAATGATGGTTCTTGGCAGACGTGGGAGAGGGGCCGAAGAAAGCACTGCTGCAGAGAGGAATTAATCAAGATGTGGGCTTTTCCCCAACCATCAGGCAGAGGGCATTTTGGGATGGCCAGTGAAGCTCACACCAGCTCCGCTCCAGCAAGCTCCCTGCTGATGCTGTTAGTACAACCTGATGTTCCAGTCCAACGAAGACTGCACGAAAGGAAAGACACCTATGCAGCTTTGTCTCACTAATGAGACAGAATTTTTTTGCTCCCAGCCCACTACAGCTGGAGACCTCTCTTCAGGCAGCTACCAGCTGCTGAGGCTGACAAATCCAAGGTCGACAAGTAAAATGGCACAATCCCAAGGTTATCAAGCAACACAGCAGGTCACTAGTTCAAGTCCAGAAACGGTCCCAGGATGGACAGGCAACATGGCAGGCTGCTGAATGCAGGATCCAAGCATGTCAAAAAGCTCGAGACCTTTCTCACAGCTGCTTCTTATACACACAGGAAGCAGCCCACGTCCCTAAGGCAGCCACTCAGCTGCTGCAGTAGATTCCACCATGGAGTTGATTACCAGTCTCATCATGAGGAACAACTACATCCAGCTGCCCAGCCAAGCTGACACATAACCATAGCTACCACAGTTCCAATAATAATAAAAGGTCTCTCTGTCTCACACACACATACACAAACACACACACACACACACACACACACAGAGCCCATGGAGGAGGACAAGAAACCATCCATCATTTTAAGGAGCACGATATCCGCCGTTGCCTCTAAGCCTCAACTTCCTCTAAGTGTGCACCGCAAGCACCGTGTGGCATGAAGCATGCGCGTGTATCCAGAGACATCACCATGCACCACTCAGCACCTGCGGCCTGCCATTTCCTCTCAGCGCTAATTCACAGGGAGGAGAAATTCCTTCAGCTTTGAAAAGCCACCTTTCAAGATTAGCAGGTTGAGTGCACCAAAAAAGATAAGCTACACAGTGATGTTTCCATCCTTCAGGAAGAGAACAATAAACTTTTCAGCCCACAAGCCAAGCACAGCGTTTGAACAGAAAATTGCTGGAACGGTTTTGCAGAGGGCAGAACTAGTCCAATTGGTTCCGACTGGGTTTCCACAGGCAGCAGTGGTTAACAATCACACACTTGGACTGCGTTCACCAGGTTTTAAAACCAGGCAGAATTCAGAGTAAACCAATTCTTTTACAATTTTCACCATTCTTTCTACCTCTGTCTCTCCTGTTTGACAAAGAGCGATTTGATTCTTAGGGCCTCCTTTCAGTCACATAGCAGGTGCTCAGTAAATGTCTAGTTATTAAATGCAAGCATGCACGTGTGGTCTAATCAACACAATTGCACAGAATAGAAAACACACACTCATAGCCTTGTCTTCTGAGCTGGCTTTGCAAGGAGGCTGTACGAATTTCACCCAAAAGGTCAACGAATTTGATACCTGGTCATGGTCCTGACAGAGGTGAACAGAACCCAAACTCCAGCCACCTGGTGAAAGAAACCCTGAGGCAACAGTGTGGCAGGAGGAGAGCACGCACTGGTCCTGCTGCCTGCGTCTGCTCGGCAACAGTGAGACCGGGCTGGGTAAGAATCAACCTCTGATCAGCTGTCCTTAGCCCCCGTGAGTTTCACTCGGCTCAACAGGAGAACCACATGCAAGTGCATAAAACGGGAAATGTCCTACAACCAGCACTCAAAAGAGCAAGCTCCCGTCACTCCCTAATGGCTACCGTGGTTTCTGACGGACCCAGAGTGGGTCCAGGGACTGAGTACCAGGCTGAAATCAAGATGGTGTCTTCTGGCTGACCACATCACCATATCCTGCTTAAAGTCAGCCATGCAAGGAGATGAGGGACTGGCTCCGTTGCTCACATCAGCAGAAAGAGACATTTGTCCTGAGAGCAAGGGGGAACCCCCACTCCACTTACCTGCAGACACTTGACTTGCGGGACATGGCGGTGCTGGGCGAAGATGGTGGCGTCTGATAGGACCAGCTGTAATCGGAGCCTTTCAGGTCTAAGATCACCTAGGAGACACAGAGCCACCTGGGTCAGCCAAGTGCTGAGAAAGGGAAGACATTTTTACCTCCTAAAGGGAAACAGCGTCTGTTAAATCTTAGCACCTATCATAGCATCAAACTTCTGCCATCACGCAGGGGTGGGAGTTAAAGAAAAAAAATTTGTGAAGTTTTTTTTTTTTTAAATTAAACAACCACACGGCCAATCCATCAATGTCATCATCCTTTTTCTGAGACAAGCAAAAATATAATTAATGGGGAGAGGGAAAAGAACACCATGAAATATCAGTCAAAATTAAAAAGAGAGGGAGATTTACAGTGACAGATGAACACACTTCAGCCAAAAACATGACTTTGTTCCCAAGGCTGAATTCACAGGCAATCACCTCACGGCACCACCGAGGCAACCACGGCTCCAGAATTGTTGGTCTTGTATCTGACCTCCTGAGTACTAAATGGCCATTTGTGCCGGACTCCACCATGAATCGAGAACAAACAATTCTTTCACAATTTTTCACCATCATTTCTGTCTCTTCGGACATTTCACATCATGTCTGTCTCTCTCGTTTGATAAACAGCTACTTGAGTGTAAGATCCACCTTTCGGTCACATAGTAGGTGCTCAATAAACGTCTAGTTATTAAATGCATGCATGCATGCATATATGGTCTAATAAACACAACAGAATGGAAACAGAATAGAATAGATGCATAGAATGGAAAATACAAGCTTCCAGAGTTGTCTTCTGAGTTGGGTCTCCAAGGAGGAAGTAAGAATTACAGAGGGAGGGCAGAAGGCAGCACATGTTTCATCAGATGTGCCCTCAACTATGCCTCTTCCCACCTGCAATGGTGTTAATGTGACATGAGCCAAATGAATAAAGCACAAGCATGTCATCTTTTTCATAAGATGAGAGGGCTTGCCAGGCATCACTACACTGGAGGGAGCAATGCAGTGAGAATGGTTGACATGGCGACCCGAGCAAATGCACCACTGCCAAATGCCTATGCGTGCTCATTTCTAGAACACCTATGGGTGTTCAACTGCATATTAACACAGCAGTTGAGAGCTCTGGAACTCGACTGCTTGGTTCAAATCCCAGTACTACTGCTTACTAGCTAAGTGAAGCTGGTTCAACAACTCAACCTCTCAGGACCTCAGCATCCTCCTCTATGAAACGGGGTAATAATGAAGGTTAACGAGGTCATCTAAGTGAAGAGCTCAGAACAATGGATGCCACGTGGCAGGGACTATGGAACAGTTAACTATGATGATGATCCTGTATTAAAATTTGAAAGCCATGGTGAAATGTGAGTATGAATTAAAACGTGAAGACGCTGGGAGAACACTCGGGATTTTGAGCCTGTATCTCCTTGGTTTGGTCCCATGGGCGCTCAGCCCACGCGACTCCTACCTGTTCACTTGAGGAGGGCAGTTTGTGAGGGTCCATGGTCAGGCTCTTCAGATCTTCTGATATGGTCTGAAGGTGAGTTATCTCCCCTAGCATTGAGATTTCTTCTTCCTGAGGGAAGTGAGTCACAGCAGGCAGGTCACAAGATGATTCTTTAAACTTTTCAGAAAAGGTACGCTGGGACTGATACGTCTTTTCCGAGGGCACTACAAGCCCTTTGGCTTTGCGGAAATGGAAAAGCAGCTCCCACAAGCATGGAGGGACCGGGGTGCCTTGGACAGTGGGTCAACAAGCCAAAGCAAACACATGCCTTCCCTGCAGTATCTGTGGGGACCTCAGGCCTCCTCAGGAAACCTGAGTTGTATTCTTAGGAGTTCCTGCAGGCCCTTCCACGTGCTGAGCGGGCCTGCCTGCGAAGCTTCGATGGCGCCATTTTGGCCGGTTCTGGGAGAGCTTTATGGCAGTGTGCGTGTGTTCCACAGAGGTTAGCTGTCTCCCTCCTCATTTTCTCCCTCAACTTAATCAGTGGCAACTGAGAAGGCAGCAGGGGCCTGTGCAGGAAACATTCGATTTACTTTGCCAAAGCACCAAGTTGGGACTGTTGGCCCAGGCAAGAACCACCCACGGTTATGCTCTACGCCCCCTGGACAACTCCCATGTGGACCGACGGCCTTGAGTCTCTGCTTTCTTATCAACTTCAAGAAAGCCAACAGCAGTGTCTCAGCTGCGGCAGGGAAACATCATTGACTTAACAAGGAAGTTTGAACTGACTTGTTCAGGCTCTGCCTACGTTAATCACATGGCCACTCATTAGTATTCTGCTTGGCCAGTGGATCTCAACATCACCTGGGGGGCTTGCTGAAACAAAGATGGCCGGTCCCCACCCTCAGATTCAGTCTCGGATTCAGTAGGTCTCATGAGGAAAAACCAGTGCTAAGGACTGTGAACAAGGCGTGGGCCATGTGGCCACCACAACCTTGTGAAGAAACTCGGATCTGTGGAAGGGATCCCATACCATGATCCCCAACACGCAGCAGACGGATGGAGGACAAGACGCCTCTGGAGCGCCCCACAACTTACGATCACCGGCCGCAGCATCGAGATGAAGGTGCAGAAGCGGCCGCGCTCTTCAATCAAAGCTTTGCGTACTGCCTGCTTCTCCGTTTCTTCCAGCAGGAGATACTTGTCGTTGACGTCCTGGAGAGCACTGTCCAACTGAGGCTGGATATCACCCCTCCCTGCAAACGAAACAAAGCCCCATGCAGTTTCCTGGACACCAGCTGCCAGAGCAAACGCACCTCCCCGGGGTCCTTGCTGGAGTCAAAAACCACAGTTTTCCAGCATTTTTTTTTTTTTTAAATTATGTCTTATACCTAGAAAGGCTGGTAAAACCAAAATCAAACTCAGGGCCACCAAGTTGATTCTGACTTACAGTGACTCCCGCTGGGGTTCTGAGGTGGTAAATCTTTGCAGAAGTAGATTGCCCCATCTTCCTTCCACAGAGCAGCTGGTGGGTTTGAACTGTCAACCTTCTGGTTAGCAGTCTCATGCCCTTAGGCACTGAGCCACCAGAGCTCCTAGAAAGGATGGTAGGTGGCTGTTTTCCTAGGGCCAGCCATTTCCAATTTCCAGTGCCATGTTGTTGTTTGCCGTCAAGTTGGACCCAACTCATAGCGACCCCTCCTTGGGTTTTCAAGGTGGTATCACTATGGAAGTAGATTGCCTAATCTTCCCTCCCAGGAGTGGCTGGTGGGTTTCACTGTGGCCTTCTGGTTAGCAGTCAAGTGCCTTAGGCACTACGCTGCCAGAGCGCCCGGCTTATTCAGGACAAGGACAATTCCCTGGGGCACCTTCTCATCACTTGCCACTTCTCACCTTGTGCAACCCCAGAGCTTCAGCCAATAAAACCCCAGGACATGGCACCCAGACAGTACTTTTTTCCTCTTAGAACATTCTGAAGAGACCAAGGGTGGGTGAACAAAGTCAAGATCCGTGTACGTTTCCCAAAGTGAGCAAGGTGGCTTTACTGGGTCAACCTCAATCAAAGAGCCTCTGTTAGGGCAGAAGTTTCTGTCACTGAGGACAAAAGTGGCAAACACCAGCTGTCCTGACTCTGGGGCCCTTGGGAATCCTTGGCAGTGAGTTTAAGTTCCCAGTGAAGACCCCTGAATACTCTTCCAGTTGAACAAGTCCAGGGACAAAAAGACCCAGAGTGAGTTCTCTGTGATGAAAAACCAAAGGTGGGTCTGTGCTGGCCCATGTTTGATAGACATCTGCCCATGTTCACCAGAACCACACACCAGTTCCTGTGGATTCTGAGTCACGGTGACCCCAAGTGTTTTCAATGGCTGTGACCTTTTAGAAAGAGATCACCAGGCCTTTCTTCAGCAGCACCTCTGGGTGAATTCAAGCCTCCAGCCTTTCGGTTATTGGTTAAGTGCTCAACCATCTGCACCATCCAAGGACTCCTGCTCCTGTCCACAGAGCTCGTTTAAGTAAGGCAACCATTTCTAGAGTCTTAACTCAGACTTTCAAACAACTCCAGAACATGGTCAGTGAACTGTTTGTCAATAAAGTTTTATTAGAACACAGCCATGCCCAACCATTAACATACTGCCTACTATCACCACAGAGTCAAATAGTTAAGACACAGACAGTGTGGCACCAAGAAGATTTATAAGCTACCCTTTTCAAGAAGAGTTGGCTGTTCTGGGAGAAGAACTTGGGCAAATAGGCTGATGGCACCGTGTTGGAGCCATAGTTCCTGCAGACCTGGTCTGTTGGTGGGAACAACAGGGTGATCCCAGGAGACCAGCTCTAGCTTCTGAGCTCCTAATACAGAGCCCCCAGCCACCACCCAGAGTAGAGAAAGCTCCTCTAAACTCCCTGGGGCAGGGATGGGGCCTTTTCCAGCCCAGCCCCCAGAACAATCCTGCATACAGATACATGATTAAGACCTGTGAAAGCCAGAAACCTGTCAGAAGGAAAATTCAAATATTTTTCACTAAAACAAGTAACAGGAAAGTGCTAAGACTGCACCTTGTCAAAGGCAGAAAACTTGTATGACCCGGAAAAACAAGGCAGTCCTGTCCAGTTCCAGCTCTCACAAGTTTCCCTCTAAATCAAGTGGTTGGGAAGTGTCTAATAGTTTTATACTCAGAATGTTAAGCTGGAAGGGGCTTCAGGGATCTCCCAAGCCAATATGGTTGCCTTTCAGTGGCGGCTGAGGTCTGGAGAAGTCAAAGGGCTTGTCCAAGGTCACAAAGGGAGAGGGATGGGGCCAGGATAGGGCCTACCCATGTGTCACTCGAATGAGGAAATGCTGAATGAATGAATTCCACTACAGATGAATGAATTCCACCACGCCTCCTAGGAAAGGGCCAGCTGGTCACCATCCACCCTCTCAAGAACGATGTCGAGGACATTAAAGGCAACGTGCCATTACTGAGTTTGAAGAAGGGTTAGAAGGCATTGCCCTGAATGGAGGGCTCTGTTCCACGCCGTCTCTCCTAAGCGGACGAGGAAGCTTAATATGGAGCAAGAGGTGATTAAGCTTAAAGAATACCCTAAAAGCAAAGGGACTGGGCTGTCAGTAAGGAAGAGATTAAGCACTAAATTAGTGGGTAAAGGGAAAGTCGAGCCTCACCCAAGACCAGTCACACGCCTTAGATGCCCAGTGGAGCCCAGCACATGTGATTTCCTCTCTCAATAGTCACACGAGTGCACATGTGTTAACGCGTCCATTACATGGTGTTGGGGTGTTCCATGTGCCGGTTTCTCCATCACCTACCCCTCAGGCTAGTTCTATCTGTTCTTCCAGTTTCTCCATCAAGGATGGAGGGGAAATCACCTCCATGCATTGAGCTGAACCCCTCAACTATAGATGTCCTATGTTCTTTAGTGGGCAGAAGCTTGTAAAATCACCCCTCCATTCTCCTGGGGATTTGCCAGGGCACCAACTCACCCATGAGAGCACCCACTGCCTGTGCCCCGGGCTCATGCAGGGAATGCTGCTAGCAAAACTGGAGACTTCTAGCAAAACTGTAGACTTTTTCTGTTTTAAGGTGACTAGGAAGAAAGGCCTGGCAATCTATTTTCAACATTTTAACCAATGACAATTTAAAAGGCTGGTTTGCACAACTGAACCCACACACTATGAATGTGTGCGTCGCCTGTAGTGGAGGGATGCTGTAAATACCCCCTTTTCAATGAAACCTAACAAACAGCCTGGCCAACCACAGGGCCGGTTAGGTGCGACCGTGTGTGTCAGGTCTGGTCTGCAGGCCTCTGTTTAGTCTCTCTCTCTTCTATGATGTTCTAAGTGACAAGATGTGGAGGGCTACAGAACTAGTCAGAATGTTCTTAACTTTGGCAGAGGAAGGCAGAAGAAAGTAGAGGAGAACTTGCAAGGAAAGAGGTGAAAATGGTAATACCTCACAAACCTGTGCGGGTGTGCTTTGATTCTCGCAGCAGTAATGATTACTAACAGTCTGTAATCGTCAGTCAGTGCCTGGGTTAATACACTTGGCTGCTGATGCAAGGTTCGAGGTTCAGATCGACTTCAGAGGTGCAAGAGAAAGGCCTGGCAATCCACTGGTGAAACCATGAGCCATCGAAAACCCCAGGAGCACAGTTCTACTCTGACACGTGTGGGCTCGCTTGAGTCAGAACCTGGAGGCAACTGGCTTGGGTGTTTGGTCTTATAAGACACTGAAAAAACACTTCTTTGCACAAGTTTTGGGCATGACGTAATTAATATCTGACCTTCAAAATATTTATCTACATAGGAAAGCCAAGTGAATGGAACCAAATGTTATCTAATTTCATTAATGCATATTTACATTATTCCACAATTACAGCAGAGAGATTTTAAATATGTATTATGCTATAATGAAAGGACTTCCAAATTGTAGTATTCTAGTGAAAGTATCATCTAATTACAGCCATAGTGGGGACATTTCCATTCAGGATGTATCATAACCTATAAACACAATGCTCATTTTTTAAATGCACTAACACAACATGTAATTATATTAAAAAAATGACTGTGGTAGGAATTCCACCATGTCCTAGTTGGAGGTACTGGTTTCCAGCTCCGCTGAAGTCTCTGCGCAGGGGCAGTGGGAGTTCAGTGGCAGAATTCTTGCCTTCTAAGCGGAAACCCCAGGCTCAATTCCCAGCCAATGCCCTTCATACGCAGCCAGCAGCTACCTGTCAGTGGAGGCGTGCGTGTTGCGAGGATGCTTAACGGGGTTTCTAAAGGCAGGTGGACTGGTAGGAAAGGCGTGGCAATCTAGTTCTGAAACCAGCCAATGAAAGGCCCTACGGCACACAAAGGTCAGCTGGGCAGCCTATCACAGGCTGGCGCAGGGCTGGCTGAGCTTTGTCTCAATGTGCGTGGGGTTGCCATGAGTCTGGGGCCAACTTGATGGCAGCCAGCACCCACCACCAGGGTTCTACGTCCACAAGTTCCGAGGCATGTTGGTGCCGCTTCAATGGACAATGCTTATTCTTTCATCTCCTTCGGGAGTACAGAGGCATGGAAGTTCGTGAGTTGAGTGCGGGGCCTGGCTCTGCTTCCTCCACATGGATCCTGTCTCCAACCTCCTTATTCGTCCCTGGTATTGCCAGCTCCACTGGGCCACCGGGCTCTCTCACCTGGATGGTGAGAGGTCATTTTGAGGGCACATGAACCAGCCCCCCAGAGCAGCCCTAATCCTATTCAAAATGAAACACCATGTGGCTCCTTTCAGCAGTGCCCACTGCTCACCAAAAAGTCCCGGCTCCCTTCACACAGCCTGCCCTGCAAGGCCAGCACGGTCAGCTGGTCCTCAGGCTTCTCCCTCCGGCCCTCACTCTGGTCCTCAGGCCCTTTCATTCCTGCAGGGTCCCTCCACCTTCACACACACTCCGCCCTCCCCACCTGCCTCAGTCTGCCATCCTGCTGCTGCTGCTCCTCAGGTGCCGTCAGGCTGGCTCCGACTCCCAGCAGTCCTACCTGTGACGACAGGATCAAACACCACCCGTGCTGTGCCACTGTCACGGTGTCTGCCTCCCTTGAGTGCAGCGCGGCAGCCACTGTGTCAATCCATCTCACTGCGGGCTGCCGCCATTCCTTTTCTGACCCTCTACTTTACCAACACGAGATCTTTCTCCAGGGACTGGGCCCTTTGGACAATTATTACCAAAGTAATGGGATGAAACATGCCCATTCTGGCCTCTAAGGAGCATTGTGGGT